ATAGAAACAGGTGTTCAAAAAAGACGCATCCGCAAATTTTTTACAATGAAGGCACACATTTCTAATTTTCCCATTGTAAAATGTGACAAAAACTTTAAAAATACCAAAAAGTTGACCGGACCTTTATGTGGGAACTTTGTCAAAACATACACCGGTACTGACAATTTTCCATACATAAGTATGTCACCCACCGAAGACCTGGTATGCAAGTATTTTCTGTAGGAAAATGCGTCATATGTGAGCTATACCAAAACGTGGAACGATATACCCCATACCAAATATCTTAGGAGTAAAACAATATCAGTGCAAATTTTCAAAACTCTATCTTAATTTCAATCGTTATTTCAACAGACTAAAGAAAATTTTTATATACACTTGACCTTATAATGGATATATATATTCTCAAAAATCTTAATCTGATGGTATTTTTATATCCTCCGCCATATGGTGAATGAGTGTATATACACTTTGTTGTAATATAAGTTCGAAGATGGAATATCGATCAACTTCTTCTTGTACCTTCCACCCAAAATGGCCAAAATTTGAACGAAAATTAAGTTTTTGCGAACGGCCTATTATATTTACCAAACGAAGATCAAGTTCGAAGATATTGCCCATCGTTACATTCCTTCTGGCACCTCCCCCACAAATGTTAAACATTTTCAATATTTATAAATAAGATATTAGGATAATAGGATGTCTGATTTGATCCAAACTGTGCATATCGTGGTATTTCCTTCAAACATAAATTATATTCGAAGAAGGGGAAAATCGGCCCACTCCTTCTGGTACCAGCATCAGGTATTCCCATTTAATCCAAACTTTGTAAATCGCAATACTTTTACCAAACGAAGATTAATTCCGAAGAACGGAACCATCGGTCCACACCTTTTGATACTACCAACTGAAATAACCGATTATTAAGTTCGAGATGGGATCTTTAGGGCAACCTCTTCCAATATCTCCCCACAGATGGTCAAAAAACATATACCTTATACATGGCGAATAACGAAACATATGCGTAATTTCGCCGACCTTATCAAACCATATGCTTTGTGGGCAATACTTTTTATACCCTACACAACTATGTTGTCGGGGTATTATAGCTTTGTGCAGCCCCAAGAGTTTGTAACGCCGCGAAATATTGGTAAAGGTGGGTTTAAGTATACCCATCGTCATATGTCGACTAGCTGAGTCGATCTAGACATGTGTGTCCGTCCATTATAATTTGTAAACACGATACAGGACACAGTTATTGACCAATCTTCACAAAATTTTGTATGTAGAAATGGTTCTGACAATGAAGATCACTATTGTTTTTGGTAATGATCGGTTAATATTTAGGGGATGAAATGGAACAAATACATAATTTTTGTCGGTTTTTCTGGTCGCTCCAGAGGCCGCAATATTTAGCGGGTCAAATGGAACCTGACTTTTAAGTGAAAAATTACAAAATTTGTCTTCTATGTCGTTGATAGTATATCCAAGAGGAGTGGTTGACCTTTAAATTGATACCAATTATATTGTCTCGGATGTTCTCGGATGCGGAAGTTACACTTAAATATATACAGGTACTTACGTATTCATATATTATTCAGTAACCTATTACCAAACTGGAGGACGGAAATATAGTGCTGATCGCTTTGAAATGTTCCAGTTATAGTCAAGGACAACGCCTAAAATGTTAGATAATGATCAGATAATAATTTTTCGGATGACATTTGCTGACCTTTAGCCAGTCAAAATTGTGTAAATATCGCGATATTGCCCAATCTCAGAATATAGAACCACAGAAAGATTTCCATGAAAGTTGTGTAGGGTATCATATCCTCGTATAAATAGTAATAATTAATTAAAATATAGACTATTAGTTTTCAAGAAAATGTAAAACCAGTGAACGCAGCAGTCAGTGCAGTGTTGTAGGACCTGTCAGACCACATAATGCCCTACACAATTACCACTAAGTTCTTGGTTTCTGTCTGGAGCGACTAGAAAATCGGGCAAAAATAAAGTTTTCGATCCGAAAAATCATCTGATCATCATCGAAATTATAGACGTCGTCATTGACCATAACCGGAACCAACATTTCAATTTTCCTATCCATCACCGCTACATTTCCGCCCTCTAGTGCGGTAATGTTAAAACTAATCAATATTAGAATAGATAGACCCTCGTCTATATTTACGTATAACTCCCACATCCGAGTACATATGTCAACATACTTGGTATCAATTTAAAAGATCAACTACAGCTTTAGAATATACTGTCATCTTCTATATTTATTTTCGATGTATATTCTATATTCAGGAATAAATATAGAATACACATTTTGTTATTTTCACACAAAAGTCTGGGTCCGTTTGACCCGCTAAATATTAACCAATCTTCATTAAAACAGTCATGCTTTTTCTCTATGGATCGGATCTCTTTCTCTGTGTAAAATATTAGTGATATTCGGGCCATAATTATGGTCTGTAGAGCAACTATAAAAATAGACAAAAGCAAATTTTTAATACATTTTATCTCCTAAATATTAACCGATTATTACCAAAAAACAACAGAGGTCTTCTTCGGTCAGAACCCGTCCAACATGCAAAATTTCGTGGTGATTTCTCCGTAATTGTGACCTGTATCGTGATTGCAAATTATAATGGACAGTCGAACGGATATACATGTCTAGATCGACTCAACTAGTCGAGATATGACTAACAGTATATTGTAAGGTGGGTCTAGAATTGATATTTCGCGGCGTTACAAAATCGTAGGGTCACACAAAGCTGTAATATCCTGACAAAATAGTTGTGTAGGGTATCAATATTGTACTTGGTGGCAATACTGAAATTGACTTGAAATTATTTCACTTGATGATCATCACCTAGGACAAGCTACAGAAGTCAGTCCAAGATAATGAATGGGGCTGCCATCTATTGGGTCCAAGAAACAAGGTCCATTGATGTTTTGTGAAGTGATTTGGGACCTTGTTTAACTAGTGCTGCCATTTTCCGCTGGCTGGCGCTATCTCCTGTCATTCCACAATTGTGTTACACACATGTGTTGATGCTGAGGTTAGTTATAAGATTATCAAAGGGGCTTTAGATCTAAGCCTCTTTTTGCAAATATTCTATAATTACATTGAAAGAATTTTTACTCATCCGTTGGGGTTCGAACCCTGTAGTCTGTAATTCTATATAAACTATTTTAGAATATTTTAATTTCCAAATTAAAATATTCTATGAAAGTATTTCGTGCTAGAATGGATAGAAATTCGTCCTTTTTTGTAGTAAAGGGTTAAATAATTTTAAAATTTATAGGAGTTCATTTGTTTCTTAATTTTTGTAGGCATTAAAAAATGCTTCAAGCTTTATATTAACGCTTATAGGGGCCAGCATTAGTAGTTATCATAATATGCTTTCATTTATATTAAAAGTGCGGGTACTCAAAGGTACTACCATAAAAATATAGTAAAAAAATAATAATACCTATGGACCTCCAGCGTTGTGCGGGTAATCATTTCGGGGTAAGTGATAAATTTTAATTTTTATAAAAAAAAATTCTAATTGAATTCTTTTTTTAACTTTTTTCATACTGTAGCAAACTAAGTTTAATTGTGTGAAAGCTCTATCTGTGTCTACACTATTACTTATTTTTAAAAGTAAAAAAAATATCTGCAAAACACAACAACTATTTAGAAAAAAAAAAACTAAATCATTTCAATCACTAAATATTTTCAAAATACACCACCCCCCTCTACTTTCCTTAAACCCTCAAAAGAAAAAAATTAAGAATTATCTGCAGTTGGAATCATTCTTTCATCCAGCCATTTATATTGTTTTAACAGAAAAGCACTTTGCAAATGCATGAGCTTTTGAAAGTTATTTTATCCAGTAATAAAAAAAGCTTGTTGGAAATAAATGATAATAATAAAACATAAGCTATGAAGCACGTTTTGTTGGCTTATGAGTATGAAATAATAAGCTTTTTTGTCTATGCAAGAGAAAAAATATTTTAAAAAGCTTTTTTAATGAATGCTAATGTTAAGTATGTAAATAATATTGAAAAAAAATAATTAATGGTAAATATATATTTATATCAAATTTTGTGTGTGAGTGTGAACCCATGAGAATCGCCAACGATCCTGTAGCCTCTTAGGAAATCTAGAAGAGCAAACTACGTAAAATGAAAGAGAATATGAAGATCATTAGATGGACTTATATACGGAGTAAATAAAAAAGAATTTAGTGCCCACGATTTCTTTTATTGATGTGTATCATTCATAAGATTACAAATATATCGCCCGTTCGTTCGCTCTCAGTATATCACTAAATGTTTCATGAATTGTGTATAACCCCCTCTCTCTCGCTCTCACGTTATTAAATAAATGTCTCTCCCTTATTTTAAGTTGTATTTCAAAAGCTCTTGTCATCAAAAGAGAAATCATCATCCCTCATCAAACATTCTCATCTATGAATATGTGTCGTTGTATTTGTAATTATCTCCCTATCTCTATCGATCTATCTCTCTCTCTTTTTAGATTTATAACAATCATTCGCTAACTCTCATAATGTCGCTCATTTTGAACTAATAGTGTAAATTTTTCATTTATTTAGAAACAACTATTTTTTTCTCTCTCTTTCTCAGTTAAAAATCACTATTCATTAGTTTTTGATTATTTTCATTAATTTAATATTTAATTACTTATTTGTAAATTGGTGTAATTACTCTCATTTAAAAATTGTCTTTAGTTGTTTCTCTCTCTCTTTTTATAAAAAAAAAAAATTAAATATGTTAATTTTTCTTTGTTCCTTAGTTTCATGTTTTTATTGTTTTTCTGTTCTATTAAACTTTGTGTTTTTCTTTGTTCGTTAATTTCTCTAACCTCTCTCCCTGTCTTTCTCTATCTCTCTCTCCTTGAGAATTTTTATATGATCAACAATAATTAATATTTTTACTATTTCTCATTGAAAACACAAAAAAACCAAAAACAAAATCAAAACCTACAGACCCGTCGGCTTCTGGGGCAAAATCGTTGGTTCGCTATGTGTGATAGCTGGTGTACTGACAATCGCTCTACCCGTACCCGTTATTGTGAGTAATTTCAATTATTTCTATCATCGCGAAACGGATCAAGAGGAAATGCAGAGTCAAAACTTCAATCATGTTACAAGCTGTTCATATATGCCTGGTGCGTTAGGTAACTGTCACCCTTTTGTTGTCTCTCCCAACTATGTGTCTATCTCTCTCTATCCATTAGTAATACTCTCTTCATGTAGTTATCTGACTGTCTCTTTTCTTATCTCTCACATTATGTAAATTTACAATCACTAATTCATTTTATTTCCAAAAAATTATCCTCAGGTCAACATTATCGAAAATCTTCCTTGTCTGAATCATCGTCAGATATTATGGATTTAGATGATGGCATCGGTACACCGGGCCTGACTGATCATCCAGGTCGTCATTTAGCTCCATTTCTAAGGACTCAGCAGTCATTCGAAAAACAGCAGCTACAGCTGCAGCTCCAATCACAACAACAACAACAGCAACAACAACCTCAACAGAATGGCATTCGAGGGTCTAGCAATTTAAACCAGAGGCACAATAGTGCCATGGCGGTCAGTATTGAAACCGATGTCTGACTACTGGGTAAGTACTGAATATTTTATATTACTGAAATGAAATATCAGACCTCAGGATCATATGAAGTGATGTACGTTTCGTAAAAACGTTACGATACACAAAGTTTCGGCGTGGATTTTTTAATTAATTTTTTTCAGGCGTGGATTTTTTAATTAATTTTTTCAAGGGTCTAGTAAACGGCGTGAATTTTTTAATTAATTTTTTTCATGGGTCTATTAAAAGGCGTGGATTTTTTAAAAATATTTTTTCAAGGATAAGGGCATTATCTCTATCTATCTGTGATAGAACTTTCGTTCCATAAGTCGAGCTTAGAAAAGATTTTCAGACGCGTTTGTCTTTTGCGCAGTTTTTCCAATTTGAAAGACCATTTTCGGCGATATTGTCTTTGACTTGATCTTTCCAACGTATTCTTGGCCTTCCCCTTCTGCTTGCACCATCAGCTGGTTCGCTTTTATATGCCTCCTGGGCCGGGGCATCTTCATCCATTCTCACAACATGACCTAGCCAACGTAGTCGCTGCAGCTCAATACGTCTAACAATGTCGATGTCCGAGAATAGCTGGTACAACTCATGGTTCATTCGACGGCGATATTCGCCGTCAACGCAGATCAGCACATAGATCTTTCGGAGAATTTTTCTCTCAAACACTTCATCTGCTTGCGTAAGTACCCATGCTTCAGATCCGTATAACAGCACGGGTAGTATCAGCGTCTGCTAGAGTGTGAGTTTGGTCTGGCGGGAGATGGCCTTGCTTTTGAGTTGTTTGCTCAGACCATAGTATCATCTGTTGGCCATCACTATCCTTCTCCAAATTTCAAAACTGATATCATTCGTTTTGTTTATGGCGGTACCAAGGTATATAAAATCTTTGACTACCTCGAAGCTGTAGTTCTCAAGTTCCACAGTTGGTCCGAGTCTACTGGACGTCTTGTGCGTTGATACCATAAGCTTGGTCTTCTCGCCGTTTACTGCCAGACTCACTTTGGCAGACTCCTTCTCAATTTGTTCCAAGGTGGCTGATACCGCTCTCATCGGTATTGGCTGGTAACATGTGTTGTTTGGTGTACAGAGTGCCATTTTTGTTCACTTTTGCCTCTCGTATGACCTTTTCCAACAGGATGTTAAAAAGGTCACACGACAAAGTATCACCTTGTGAATCCTCGTTCGGTACTAAAGGGCTCCGAGAGGTCCTTTCTGACTTTAACTGCTGATCTTGTGCCTGTTAAAGTTATTCTTCATTGCCGAATAGGGCTGTCGAATGCGGCTTTATAGTAGACGTATAGGTGGAATGTGTCGATGTGTTTTTCGTGGGTTTTTTCCAGGATTTGGCGCAGAGTGAAAATCTGGTCAATGGTGGATTTGCCAGGTCTGAAGCCACATAGGGTCCAATAATGTCATTGATCATTGGCTTCTGGATAGCACTTTATATGCGATGGGAAGGAGACTTATTCCTCTATAGTTGGCACATATCGTCTTGTCTCCTTTTTTGTGCACAGGACACAGGATGCTGAGGTTCCAATCATTGGGCATGAGTTATTCTAGCCAAATTGTACTAATCAGCCGGTGCATGCTCCTTACCAGCATCTGACCACCAGTCTTGGATAGTTCGGCTTCTAACCCATCGGCACCTGCTGCTTTATTATTCTTCAGCCAATGATTGCTATTCTGACTTCATCTCTATACCGTCATCTATTATTGGTTCTGGAGTATCCTCTTCACCGCTACTATTTGATACCAGAAGCTTTTCAAAATGCTCCTTCCAGATCCTCAGCACGCTGTCTGTATCTGTCACCAGGTTTCCTTCATTATCTCTACAGGAGGATGTGCCTGCACCAAAGCCTTCGGTTTGGTGTTTTACCCGTTGGTAGAATTTTCGGACTTCATTCTGACTCCTGTACATCTCGATTTGCTCACACTCACGTTTTTCTTGCTCTTTCTTAATTTTTTTCTGAAAATACGCTTATCTTCTCTCATTTTCTCTCGATAGTTCTCCATCGTAATACCCGTTGCTACTGTCCGCAGGGTTGTCCTATACGCTGCGTATTTCATGTTAGTAGGTTTACGACACTCCTGATCGTACCACGGATTTCTTGATAGTGGTCTTTGGCACCCAAGTGTTGCTTTTGCTTCAGTTTGTAGGGAATGGGCAATTATCTGCCATTATGCTTCTATATTATTATCGGGACAAGGGGTGCTTTCGTCAAGCAGTTGGGTAAGTTGAGCGGAGTAGGCTTCTGCTATCTGTTGTGTTTGCAGCTTCAAATTTCCGTGTTACATTAGATCGCACCTTTGCTGCTACATTAAGACGGGTGCGTACCTTGGCTGCCACAATGCAATGGTCCGAATCGATATTCGCTCCCCGGATCCATCGGACGTCTAAAACACTGGATCAATGCCTTCCGTCCATCACAACATGATCGATTTGATTCCTCGTTGTTCGATCGGGAGAAATCCTAGTGGCCTTGTGTATATCGAGATGCTTGAATCTGGTGCTGCTAACTACAATGTTTTTTTGCTGCCGCGAAGTCAATCAACCTCATGCCGTTGTCTGATGTTTCTTCATGGAGGCTGAATTTTCCTACGGTGGGGCCAAAGATATCTTCCCTTCCGATTTTTGCATTAAAATCTCCTAGCAGAAGTTTAATGTCATGGCCAGGTCAACGATCATGTGCTGTTTCTAGGCGCACGTAAAATATGTCTTTGGTCTGTTCATTTTTATCTTCGGTCGGTGCATGGGCGCAAATGAGACTTATGTAGAGAACATCGTTTTTATACGGTTTATAGCAATTCGCTCATCGACTGGAGTGAATCTGGAGACGTGGTCTTTTATTCTCCTGTTAACCATGAATCCGCAGCCAAATTCATGTCTCGTTTCATGGCAACTATAATACAGGGCGTAATCATCTGATTTACTTACGCCAGTCCCTTTCCATCGCATTTCCTGTACGGCAATAATATCGGCTTTGTACTTCTTGAGTACATCCGCCAAAGCGAACACTGCGCCTGTTCTGTACAACGTGCACACATTCCAAGTGCAGATTCGCAGATCGTGGTCCTTTATACGTTTGCGGGGGGTTTGGTTTTCTTTTTCTTAGCTTTTTCATATTAGGTTGGGTTTTCCAAGAGTGGGCAACTAACCCGACGCCTCAACCCATTTTTTTATAGTTCTTATGGGTGAACTCGCGGCACATATTAGCTCAATATTTCATCAGGCGATGAATTCATTTTAGTAGTCCTTTAAAAATGCGACGTCTGTTAGGATTCATCTGTTGAATGTACCCAAAGTGGTGAAGGGTATCATATAGTCGGCCCCTTCCGACTTTACTACTTTCCTTACTGGTTTAAATTAATTTTTTTCAAGGGTCTATTAAAAGTCGTGGATGTTTAATTAATTTTTTTCAAGGGTATATTAAATGGCGTGAATTTTTTTAATTCATTTTTTTCAAGAGTCTATTAAAAGGCGTGGATTTTTTAACTAATTTTTTTCAGAGGGTCTATTAAAAGGCGTGGATTTTTTTAATTAATTTTTTAAAAGGCGTGGATTTTTTAATTATTTTTTTAAAGGGCGTGGATTTTTTAATTATTTTTTTAAAAGGCGCGGATTTTTTAATTAATTTTTTAAAAGGCGCGGGTTTTTTATAATTAATTTTTTAAAATGCGCGGATTTTTTTAATTAATATTTTAAAAGGCGTGGATTTTTTAAGTTAATTTTTTAAAAGGCGTGGATTTTTTTAAATTAATTTTTTAAAAGGCGTGGATTTTTTTAATTAATTTTTTAAAAAGCGTGGATTTTTTTAATTAATTTTTTAAAAAGCGTGGATTTTTTTAATTAATTTTTTTCAAGGGTGTATTAAAAGGCGTGGGTTTTTAATTAATTTTTTTTCAAGGGTAAGGACCTTGTCTCTATCTATCTGGATCAATTGGAAGAAATGTTTTAGTTCCTAAATTAATGCCCTGAGGACTGATATTTTTGTCTATCAATTAATCTCAAATTAAATTAACTGTAAAATTAAATAAATTAATTTTTCTTTTTTTGCAGTAAAAAACGTGGAGCATAGTATTAATTGGCGTCGTGAAATGTTACGCTGGATGCCTGAAACAACATCAAAGGCGGTCTAAGAGATCGCTCTGTTATGGTCGCGGTGTTTTTCCTATTATTAAATAGGAAAATCTCTGCCCAAAAAGCAAAAGAGAAAAACAAAACAAGCAGAAAAGCAACAAAAAATAAAATAAATGATGAAGACACATAAATAGAATAGAAATGAAAGTGACGCAAAAACAAATAGTAGAAATATTCTGTTTTGTTTTCTTTTTTTTAGAGGAAAACCCAATTCAATTAAAAAATAAGCAAGAACAACAACAAAGCAAAACAACAAATGATGAAGCCGAGACAAGACGTAAAGAAAAAACAATAAATTTATTATAGTTATTATAGTTATGTTTAATTTCCAAAACAAAGTTTATTTTAATTTTTTTAGACAAATGTGAGGAAAAAAACAAATGTTTTCAAATAAATTTGAAAATACCAAAGAAGAACAACAAAACATTTAGCAAATATCATTGTTAGTAAAATATAAAAGTAATTAATGAAACAAAAATAACAAATACAAACGGAACTATATAAAAAAAAGAAAAACAAAAACAAATCTAGAAGACAGAAAAAGCAAAACAATTTTTTTAAGAACAAAAAAAGCTAAACAAAAAATAATTATAAACAAATTAGCTTAAATTTATTAACAAAAAAGAGTAAGAAGAAGAACAACAACAACAAACAACATAAAAAGGTTAATTAGAACAATTGGTTTATAAAACAAATTATTAGTATAAAGTAAATGATAAATTATTAAAAAAAGAGAAAACACACATAAATGAGTATGAGAGGAGACGACACACAATAATGTGAAAATGTTAGATATTAATTTAAAACTAAAAAATTAAATAATTAAATTATTATTATTAAAACAATGAAAATTAATTATTAATAAAAATATTACATTAATTTATGTTTGAAAATAATTATAATTTATTAGATAATTAAAATAAACAAACTACCAACAAGAACAACAAAAGACAAAAAATAAACAAAACAATATGAAATAAAATTCAAAGAGTCGAAGAAGGGGATTTTCACCATTATTAATAAAACAATTTTGAATTTTATATAAAGAAAAAATAAAAATTTGCTCAAGAAATATTGCAAAATTTAAAGTAAATTATAAAATATGAAAAATTAGTAATTTTTATTACAAAAGATTTTTTATAATGGAAGCGTTATGGAAACGCTAAATGTTGATAAATAATTTCCCATGCACTGAATATCAAATTATATAAAAATCGTAATATATGGGACTCTATTTTAAGGAATGGAATTCTGAAATATGTTTTACAGTTACCGACAAATATCGGTACGTTTTTAAAATATATATATTTTTATTAAAAAAAAACATTTATGTTAACTTTTTGATATCCGTTGGTAGGGCTTGACAAATACTTAAACAAATTAAAATATGCAGTACTGCAGCTCTACTGGTGTTCTAATATATTAAAATAAATGAGTGATTTCTAATCGTCCCGATTACATCCCCTAAATCGATTTATAACATAGGTATTGAGTTATTCTACAAATTTAAATTATAGATCTGTGCCCTATTTTGAATAAATAATCACATTAATTGCTTGTCTGTGACGAAGCATTAAATGCTTGTCTGAGGCGAATACGCCATCCAAATCAGCGGATACCATAAACATTAAAAATTGTTTTCCCGTTACAAATGGAGACCATGGTTCTAGAAACAATCTATTTTTGGCTACAATCCATATGTGTTGAATTAAAAACTGCATTTTTTCAGATAGTCGAATATGACTAGTAAGATATGGTCGGGAAAACATATTGATAATTCAAGTAGAAAATTCGAAATATAATAATTCTGTCATTGACGAAATACTCCTATGTTTTGTTACTTACAGATTTCTTTTGTTCATTTACTTATACTAAAATTCTAAAACCACATCTTGTGGGAAGAATTGATACAAACTGGGAATAAGATCGGATTTAACCCTAAAATGAGTTTTCATATTATTTAAGATTTTTGATATTCAGGCTGATTTTTGAGTTTTGGTCTATTCTTATAGTAAACTTTATGGCGAATATTTTTGTAACATATTCGGACCTGCTATAATCCTGTTTTAAATAAATTTTCATAAGTTTTCAATAACTTCTGAAAAAAGGACCGAAAAGACCCCTTCAGGGTGTGGATTGAGCTTTAACATATTAGACAAAAATAGAGTCTATCTTCTGTATGAGATATGATGATTTTGGCTTTTGAAGCTCCCAATGTAGTTTTCAGACATTGAAGCAAATTGTCCTATTCTTGTATATCGGATCAAAAAAAAAACATGAATATCTGGTTCTGATCTGAACACAAATATGAATGACTTCAAAAAGGTGTTTAATTATGAACAATAATAAGGTTGAAATAGGCGGATTTTTTCATATTCTTTCAAATAAAATCACGAAAAAGTCCGGTTGCAATTATCTTGCAATCAATGGCAAACATAACGAAGTCTATGTAACATCCTGAAAATATGCAAGTTCCCAGTCTTGTTTATAAAGTATACATAGGATTAGGATGTCTATACATGTAGTTGATGGTCTACACATGTAGTTGATGATATATTTTAAAATTTAGCCGAAATGTGGCATTTTCTTTGTCCTTCAACAGCTTGACATGTCAATCCCAATTTTTGTAAAATCCATATTTTTGTTGGGCAGCATGGAATCTAACCATGACTCAATTGGTAATTCTATCCATTTCATATGCCGAACATTAGTTTCGGAACCAACAAGGATTGAGGATTATTGTTAATAATCGTTGGCAGATTCAAGCATCCCAAATTTCCCAGACAACGAAGTTGCTTAAAACTTGTTGGGACCATTCATTCTATTTCATAGGCGATTAAATTGAGAACTTTTAACAGGCATTAGAATTCTACATCAGATCGGGTATAATAAACGGCACCGAAGTGATTGTACTTGTAATAAGGTTCAGCATGCTGCGCCAGAACTGTAGCATACGTATTTCATTCAAAAATTTGGATAACAATAAAAATTGAGACAGAAAACATTTGCATCAGATTCCTCATAAAGTAGACCAATGGCAGATTTCCCAATTTGATCTCAAATCCGCAAAATTATAATGGAAACTCCTCTATAAGGATCACCTATCCAAGGATCATGAAGGAAAATAATATATTGCAGAAAAGGACATTTTACTCTGCATAGGGTTTCCATCTCAGACATTCAGGAATATTGTCAAGATTTCAAGACCTCATCTTTATAACTTTTCTCCATAGAAGCCACGATAACATGTTTTGGAATATTTCACCTAAATTTAGTAGCACTTTAATATATAGAACGCCCCAAATCAGTAGAAGATATACAAATGTGATAACAATTGAATAGTTAATTTAATACTGTAGAAGAATTCCCTGAATAGAGGCCTGGTGGTCTGTCAAAATTTTGGATATTTATAGACCAACAAGCAGTGAGGGATTTCTTGAGATAACATCAATATACAGATAAATTCGTAGAATAAAATTAAAAAAAGCTTTCGTTAAGCTATCATTTGTAAGTCCTTTCGTCCACAAGAAGTCTGCCATCCTCTACTTTTATAAAAATGTTCAGCGATCTTCTGAACACATTTCACATACATTTAAAAAATTAAACTTTGATTAAATTAATACTTTCATAAATGATATATTTTACAGCAGGACTATAACTCTAGTCCTGCTGTAAAATATATCATTTATGAAAGTCCAAAAATAACATAACCTCACATTGAAAAAGCTTCAATCTGTACAACAACTTCGAAAGCTCTCTTATATAATTTGGAGAATTTGATAGGCGTTTCTAATATCTGCTGACGTATTTTGTCCACAGAAGGGAAAAAGGGTTTATTTTATTTATATTCCAAAGAAATGCTTGCAGAAGACTCTCTGAGAGATTTTCTGTTTACATAAAGGATTTTTAATCAAAAGAAAATTCTGTATTTTTTAAATATAATAGTATCGTCTTAAAATCTAGAAACCTATTGTATACATTAATATGATATAAAAGGATATTTATCCAGCCCATTCGATTGCAGCTTATATACGATTTTTTTGTTCAAAACTTCGTAAGAATACAATTGTATATATATTTTAAAAATTTACTAATTACCGAAAATATTATTAAATTAATATAAGGCTGAAAAATATGTCTTACAACACTCCTTTTATGTCTTCGGTTCTCAACAAAATACCCCGTCTCTGATTAGTACTTCTGAATTATATTTCATATTGTAATGTTGTAATGCAAAACGATATTAGAGAAATAAATGCTAATTAAATAAAAACAAAACTGCCGTTAATTTAAAATAATATTACAAAACAAAAAATATTAAAACAAAATAAATAAAAAAGAAGAAACACAGAAATACCTTAAAAATAAAAAAAAACAAAAACCATACTGTAAATACTAGGCAAAAAGAAATTAAAAAAATAAAATATGCAAAAAAAATAAATCAATAATTTAATGCAATAAATTCAAATATGAATCTTCCATCTTCAAGTCAAAATAAAACAAAAAAAGAAAAAAAAAATTAACAAACAACAACTTCTAAGATAATAAATTTTCATATTAATAAATTATGATAAAGATGATGATGATGACGACGATGATAATGATGATGATGCTGCTAATAATGATAACCAAAGATAATTTAAAAAAAAATGTGGATAAGACATAACAATTTTTGCCCACTAAGTTAAAATGCTATTATACATTATTGTTATAATAATTTTATTTCATAATCATTTTTATTATTATTAAAAACTATATATAAATAACAAGAAATATTGTAAAATAAAAAAGCAAACTAAGCCGCAGCAATAACAGCAACAACAAAGAGAAAGATATTAAATGCATAAAGAGAAAAAATAAAAATAAATAAATTTAAATACAAAAAATACTTCAACTTTTGTCTACCATTAGTTTATAATTTTTTATAATAAAACGATTTTTTGTTGATATATATTTTATGCGTTCTGTTTTTACAAAACTATATTTTTTATAAACTTATTTGCGCTTTTTTAATATTTCATCTTAAAAGTTAAACAAGAAATAAATTAAAATATGTTAACAAAACCAAAAGGAACTACTACTAATGATACCGACCTTGCTAATAATGATGATGATAAACGTCACCGATGACGATGATGAAGATGATGAACTACAATACTATTAATTCTACTCTCTAACTATCTCTCTACTCTGTCTTTCTATCTATCTTTCGGACCATAATTTTTTTGATAAAATAATATCCTAAAACAAATTAAAATACAACCACAAAATAAAACATTATTATATATATATATAAATAAAACAGAAAAAAATAATCAAATATTCTAAAAATAAAATGACTGAACCCAAGCAAAAACAAAAAAAAAATAAAATAAAAATAAACTCACACCAAACCGATGAACAACAACAACAAAAATTCAAGGAAAAAACACAATTTCACTACAAAATTAATTTTCAAATTCATCGCACCACTCAGTTTCACACTTTAACTTGGAATATTCAAAGCAAAGAGATTATCCAGAAGCAACTGGTATCTATCTAAATAACCTCCTGTATATAAAGGAAACCTTTTATAATTATTATTAATTCAGAAATCTCACATCGAGGAACAAATCCTCTTTTTTAAAATATCTCTAGTTTTTGGAAATTTTATTTTGAAAAATATTCAAGAATATATTTTGGACACTTTTAGTTGAATTTGACGTCTTATGGGGATATTCAAACTTTCCCGGCTAAATTTAGACCAGTCAAATAAACCCCCAAAAACTCCAATTTCGCAATGTATAAAAATCTAACAAATATGTCAATTTTTGTGACCTGATATATAATAGGACTAAATTATAATCCGAACATCTGGAAATTTTACACGAGGAACAAGTAGGGCTTTTTCCATGATCATCGGTCAATATTTGACAGGTCCAATGGAACCTACATACATATATAAGACGTTTCATACACACGAAACTAATTGAAAACCCAGTGAGTGGAGCAGTATACCCTACACAACTACCACAGAACTCTAACATTCTGCGGATGTTTATTTCGAGCCTGGGCAGATCAACAGCACCTCTTTCTTACACTGACATATTTTCCGAATATTTCCAATATTCAGTAGAACACTTCTAATTACTTGTCCAGATTCCCTTCACCGTGGGTTTTGTTTTTATGTTCGGCTTGTGGTCCTTAGATCGACTCGTAAAAAACACAAAAAAATTATGTTGTCGGTCAACTTCTTCCCAAATTTTGTATGTGATCATCACCGAAAACGAAAGGCGTTGTCCTTGACCATAACTGGAACCCCTTGGAAAATTTTAAGGCGATCAGCGCTATATTTCTTCCTTCTAATGCTAATGGGGTTTATATACATAATATTTAAATACGTAAGCAACTATAAATATATAAGTTCCCACATCCGAGTACATACGATAATATAATTGATATCAATTTAAAGGTCAACCAATCCTTTTGGATATACTGTCTACTTCTCGGGTCTATGTCCTCCAGGAGTAAATATATACGCCATAGAATACAAATTTTGTCATTTTTTACACAAAAGTCAGGGTCCATTTGACCCGTTAAATAATGACCGATCTTTATAAAAACTGGCATTCTGATTCTTTGGACCGATCGCTTCTCCATGTAAAATTTCGCGATGTTCGGGCCATAATTGCGGTCTCTGGATCGACTTGAAAAACCACATTTCATTGGCCCGAACCCATCATACATGCAAATTTTTGTGAAGATTGGTCCATAACTGTGGCCTGTATAATGGACAGATGGGCGGCTTCACAAAGCTATAATTATAGTCTCGAGATTTCATAAAGACCGGGTTTGGGACCCCGAAAAGTAGGTTCTATTACTCCAGATGTATATCATCTAGAGAGGTATAACTTATAGCCTAGACAGACGACAGCCTTAATTTGCATTAACAGCCTTAATTCAAATTAACTTGTACATTATCCTCATTTTTATGTGTTGTTAATGCACAAAATCAAACTGAATTTATACTGAATTAGGCAATTTCAATATGGCAATGCTGTCGAAAATTAATTGTTTCTTGTCAAATTTATGTATATTTATGAAAATAAAAATAAGAAATGAAGGCAAATTTCAACCATTTTTTAAATTGGGAGCTGCTTTGCTAAGATCATAATTGCTATTCCTCCTTTATGTCATGTATTTATTTCCCAAAGATGTAATCCCGAAAAATATCGAAACAAATGTAAAAAAATTTCATCATACACACAGACAAACAATTGTTTTGAAGCAAAAAACTGTTTCGTAAATGCAGAAACTCTCGTCTGTCAGGGGTAAATATTAATTCAAATTAAGAAATTTTTAATGCAAATTAAGGCTGTCGTCTGTCTATGGTATTACCCTATAAAAGCTTTACAAATTAAATGTCTGTCTATAAAAAATTAGTTTCTGAACTAAATGTCCGTCTATAAAAAAGTTAGTTTCTGAATCAAATGTTATTGGTGGTATAGAATACACCGAGACACATCTTCTGTCTCCAGTTTCTGTCCCTTCAAAAAAAGGTTTTTTAACATAATTTGCTTATAATCCTTGAAGGAGCCTACATCTATTCGCAGCCTTTTGAAAAAGGTATATTAAATTTGTCATTTCGTTTGCAACACTTCGAAATATTCACCGGAGACCCCATATACTCTATGGGAATAAAATAAAATTCTATGTCGATTTATGCGTGACCGTCTGCCTGTCAGATGAAATCATGTTAGATATCGCCATATTTGATATAGAGCTTTGAAAATTTGCTCTGGGATTGCTATTACTCCTAGGATGGTTGGTATTGAATATGGGTTATATCGGTCCACGATTTGTTTTAGCCCCTATTTACATATATACGGTACACCCCAAATATTCGGTATTACAGGCATTTTTGATACGTTTCGTTCTCATTGATTACCAAATCTTTCTACCGAATATTATCAATATTGGACCACTTTTTAGAGTAGCCCCCTATTATTCGGTATTTTGGTGGTTTTAGTCACATTTTCAAAATAATCAGCTGTAGTTTGGCATTTTGCCTATCAGATCTACTTACCAAAACTATATTAATATCGGCTTATATTTAAGGGTAGCCCCCATATAACTGTTCCCCACAATATTTGGTATTTTGATGGTTTAGGGCACAATTTTTAAGAGCATTTTGGATTTTCATTGACTAGAAAAGTACCCCTCCCAAAAATTATCAACATTGGCCAATGTTTCGCTCTAATTTCATTTTTAGGGTTTCATGGTGTGTCAAATATTCCAACTAAACATGATCCATATTGGTTCGCTTAGTAGGGAAAATACAGATACAATATACTAGCATCTCTTAAAATATTTCCCATAATGGCATATTGGGCTTCACGAAATAAATAAATAAAGTTGTTCTCTCTTATGATAATCTCTTAGCTTCGAAAATCCTATAAAAAAAGTAAATACAAATAAAACTAAATTTTTTTACAATTATATTTTTGTTTGTTCCTGTTTTCTATTTTTTTACTTTCTTCAGCTTTTTATATTATTATTAAAAATAAAATAATAATTACTTAATAAAATCAAATAATGTGTATATATGTAAACTAATCAATTAAAACAATAAAATCACAATAAACATTTATAATACTATATAGAGATAATCATGTATAAAACATAAAAATAAATTAAATAAAATACAAAAAAACCAACAACAAACATAAAATATTATCTAAAAAAGCTTTGAATACCGTCCACGCGATTGCATGAAACAAACAAACAACAACAAAAACCAAACAACCAAAAAAATGAAATGATTTTGAAACCTAAAACAGCAAAACAAAACTATAACAAGAACAACAACTAGCAAACAACATACACACATCCAACAACAACAACAAACAAAAATAATACTAAAGTAAACCCGAGGAATAACAAAAACAACAACCACAAATTATAAATATTATTAAATTTATGAAGATGACAAAATTATTATTACAAATTGATATTTAAAACCACAAGAAAAAATTAGTTAGTTAATTTTTGTAAACAAAAATAATAATTTTCACAAGGCCTTATTTTAATTACAAATTAAAAAAAAGTTATATGTAACAAATAAACTAATTTTTAAATTGTTATTACCAAATTCAATTTAAAATAATTTATTGTTTTAAATTCCTCACTTAAAAAGTACGTAGACATCTGTTTTACTTAGCAAAAGTTGAAGTTTTTTTAGATAAAAAATAAAAAAAATAAAATTTAGATGAAATAAATTATTAAAAAATGTGCATAATTTTGTAGATTGCTACTTTTCTCTTTAATGCCTGAAAGTATGCTAAATAAAATATTTAAATCAAATTTAAATGGACATAATTTTATGACTGCCTAAAAATATACTATATATTTTGAATAATATTATAAATATTTTCAAATCTGTTATGTAGAACTGCCCTAGAGGGGAATGTTACGGCTAGCAGTGTTGCCCAATTTAGCGGTTTTCATAAAGTTTGTCGTCTTTTGTTTTCATTAAACTAAAAATCGCAGTAATTTGATCTGGTATTTGAAAAATCCCAATGATGTTCGCAAGCAATACAATTTTCAGGGATTAATTATTTTGAGCCTTTTATATCCTTCACTGGAAAGCACACAATACAACAACGTTGGATATCGATTTAGCCATGTCTGGCTAGGTTGTATAGTATGGAAAATATTGCCCAGTGGGATAAAATGCACATCTAGCGTGCAGAATTTAAAATTCGATGTAGGATTACTCATTATTTATTCATTAATTATCATTACAGATATATTAGTTTGGTGAAAAATAAATCTATTATAGGGCTTTATTTAACCCTTTGTGGTCCAATGTTGCCCACCGGCAACAAAATGTTTTAGAGGTTATATTTAATATGCAGCTAGTAAATGTATATTTTTTGGATTACATATGTTAAGAGCTGATTATAGACGACACATATCAAAAGAAAAATATAAAAAAATCTAATTTTTGGTCAAGTTACATGCTTTTCAATACATAGAGTGCACAAATATGTACAGTACCAATTTGTGTATACAGTCGTAAACATGCTTCGGAATGTCCGATTTGGACCGTTTTGTTGTATGATTTACTGCCATTTTAAAGGTAACTTCATAATGCCTCTCTCATAGAATTCCTGCTCTCTATTG